GCCAAGCCATAGACAGGGTTCTCAGGAGGAGCTGGTGGCACAGTGGGATTGGCTTACACCGCACCCTGCTGACCGTGGGAGGAAATACATCCTTGGCATGTCCCTGTCCTTGTTGGACTCTGTCGCCTCCTGGTGTTTATCCTTACAGTTTTGGTGCATGCCCCTGAAACCTCTTGCCTGCCGGCTATGTATGACCTTGGTCAGAGCTGCCGAGGGACCTGAACCCAGGTTAGTTGGGCTAAGCGTCCTGCTTGATCCTTGGCGACTTCTCTGGTCATCTAACTTCTGTGAGATCCCGGGACTTGTCTCCACCCTTCACTTCTGGAATCTGGAGGCTTGCATGCTTGTATACTCCTGGCCCTCCAGCAGCTGCCCCAGAGTCCTGTGTCACACCCTCCCCCTCTGTCCTCAGCTCTGTCCAGCCTTTGTCCCATTGCAGGACCCCAAAGCTCTCCCTGTGGAGACCTAACACCCAAGGGCTGAGCTCAGAGAGAAAAGTCAGCTTTCTCAGCGAGGGGAGGGGCTGCAGAAGGAGCCAAATCAATGATGCAGCCCAATACTAGGTATGTACAGGGACCTATAAATGCATTAATATAGGGAACTTGGGAGGATGAGAGGGTGAGGGAATGGGGGGATGGATATGTAAATATGAGTAATTAAAAATAAACAAATAAGGGCTGGAGAGATGACTTAGAGGTTAAGAGCACTGACTGCAGAGGTCCTGAGTTCAATTCCCAACAACCACATGGTGGCTCACAACCATCTGTAATGACATCTGGTGCCCTCTTCTGGTGTGCAGATATACATGGAAGCAGAATGTTGTATACATAATAAATAAATACATAAAATCTTTAAAAAAATAAACAAATAAAAATAAATAAATAGCTCAAACCTCAGATCTAGAATTATACTACCCAATTGTTTATTCAACAAATGGTTAACAAAACTAACATAATTCCAACGTTAGAGTCATGCATACTGTGGTAGTTTGAATGAGAGTGCCCCCATAGCCTTATATGTTTGCATGTTTGGTCCCCAGTTAGTGGAATTGTTTGGGAAGGATTAGGAGGTCTGGCCTTGTTTGAGGAGGTGTGTTATTGGGTTTGGGTTTTGAGGCTTCAAAAGCCCATACCAGTCTGTCTGTCTCCTTATTTTTTTCTCTCTCTATCTCTGAAACTTGCAGACCAGATGTAGCTTTCAGCTACTTCTCCAGCGTCATACCTGCCTGCTACCATGCTTCCCACTGTGATGATCATGGACTGACCCCCAATTAAATGCTTTCTCTTATAAGTTGCCTTGGTCATGGTGTCTCCTCACAGCAATAGAACAGTGACTAAGGCTGGGCAGTGGTGGCTCATTCCTTTAATAACAACACTCATGAGGCAGCGGCAGGCGGATCTCTGTGAGTCTGAGTCCAGCTTGGTCTACAGAATGAGTTCCAGGGCAGCTAGGGCTCTTACACAGGGAAACCCTGTCTAGAAACCCTACCCCCACCTCCCCAAAAAGAACAGTAACTAAGACAGATAGCTGTTTATTCAACAAGTGGTTAACAAAGCTAACGTTCCCCCAACATGCCACTAGAGTTAACATTTACCACCTGCGGGAATAGCAGTCTTGCATACTTTAGCAGAAAGAGCCCATTTCATCATTATTTTGAGCTGGGGTTTTACTATGTGGCCCTGTCTAGATGGGAACTCACTGTAGAGATCAGGCTGACCTTGCACTGTGGCACTCCTCCTGGCTTTACTTCTGGATTGCTGGGGTTGCAGGCTTTGGCCATCACCACAAATCTTGGAGACACTAACCTTTTCAACAATGCTCTCTCCAGATACTGAGAAGGTGGAGAGCAATTCGAACCAGAGGTTGACACATAGAAAACTCAGGGTTCCTGATGAGGGCCTTGGGTAAGATGTTGCCCTTCTTAGGACCTTGCTTCCTTATTCATAAAGCATGAAGCCGATGCCTTGTAGCAGACTTCTCTTTAAAGGCCTGGGGATAAATGTTTCCAGCTTTCAGGCCATATCTCCTCAGTGCTGTGGTGACAGCACAAGGCTGCAAGAGACAAAACAGATGAGCATGTCTGCATTCCAATAAAACTGTATTTGTGGCTGCTGAAATTTG